CCTGCCCCGAGGAGCGGGCGGCCGGCGAGGGCGTGCACGCCGTCGCCGACGTGGTCTCCAAGCTGGGGCAGAGGCCCTCGCTGCCCGCCGTGCCCACGCAGCTGCACACGCACCCCGCGGGGCGCGCGCTCGTCATCGCCTGCCCCGGCGCCCGGCCCGAGCACGCCGTGGCCTGGGACAAGGGCTCCGTGCGCCTCTACCGCTCCCGCTACCTGCGCGGCGTCAACAGGAGCATGCGGGTCTTCATCGACCACGGCAACCACCTGCACATCCTCCGCGTGCGCCTCAGTGACAGGGGCACCTACTACTGCTGGCGCCAGGGCCGGCTGGCGGCCRCCTTCCGCCTCCGCGTCACCCATGAGAGCCAGCGCAAGCGCACGCTCGACGATCCYGAGACCAAGTTCGCCATCCAGGTCATCCTCACGAGCTACGTCCTGGTCACCATCGTCTTCRTCGCCATCCACGTGTGCCGCTGCTGCCGGCGGCTCTTCTGGTGCCCGCCGCAGGCCTAGCGGCGCCGCTGCGGAGCCGTCTCCCCGGCTCCATCGCTGGCCGGGCGGGAGATAAACGCGGGCGAAAGGCGGCCTGCCCGCGCTGCCCGCGCTGCCCGCTGCTGGACACAGGGCTGAGCGCTGGCAGCGCATCCAGGCGCCGCTCGGGAGCAACGAGGCCGCCCTGGCAGCGCCGGATCCGCTCCCGCCGCCGCGGCGCCGCCTCGGCCGCCGTCTAGCCCTTTTCTGGCCGAGCTGGCGACCCGCATCAGTGACTCTGCAGAGCCGCTTTGTTCATTCACGGGCTGCTCTAAAAAGACAAGCTGAAAAGTTTTTCCTCTGGCTTTTTCTTTCTTGCTTCCCTCACCTTTTTTTCTCATGTTTTTCCTTTACTGAAAACTTTGAGTGTCTGAGTTTCAAAACTCCTAGTGTTCACTGGAGCGTCTGGCTGTAGCAAAACCATTCAAAACAAAATGGAACGTTTTCTTGTCTTCATTTTGGAAGGAAAAGGCGTTTGCAAAGCCACTCGGCGTGGGGCTGTGCGCCCGCTGGGTCTCTGCAGGGCGGCGATGCCCGCGAGGACGGCCGAGCTCCGCGGGGATGGCGCCTCCCGCCGGGACAACGGCAGCACCGACCGCGCCCAGGGGTCCCCCTGCCCTTCCCGGAGAGGCTGTCGGGGGTCCCGAAACCCCTCGTCCCGCTCCAATGCCCTCCCACCTGCAGCGCTTGCTGCTGGTGGCGAACACGGCCCTGCCCCGCGGGCCCTTTGCAGGGTCTCCCGAATCCGCCGTCGGTCCCGACGGCCACGGAGGATCCCAGGGGCTCCAAGCGCGGCCGTCTCGGCTCACGCAGCGCAGCGGCTGCGGCCGCGGTTGGGGACCCCGGTCGCTGCCTTCCCCCGGCTCCAGGCTCCTTCCCGCCGCCGCCTCCCCGGCTGCAGCCGCGGTTGGGCCTTCAAAGCAGGTCCCGACCGGCCCCGCGCGACCCCCAGTTTGGGCTGAGCCCAGATGTGAAACCCAGGCAGGAGCTGGGCTGGATTTGCCAGAGCTCGGCATTGGCAAAGCAGGCTGAGCGCCCAGGCCGGGGGAAGCGGGACRGAGCCTGGTGGCAGCCGGGGCTCACGACGAGGGGCTTAGCGGTCRCTCCTGCTGAAAATCACAGAGKCACAGGGTGGTTGAGGGCGGCAGGGACCCCTGGGGAGCATCCAGTCCAACCCCCTGCTCCAGCAGGGACACCCAGAGCACAGGGCACCCGGTCACATCCAGGCMGGTTTTGATGATCTCCAAAGAATCATAGAATCATAGAATGCTTAAGGTTGGAAGAGGCCTCCAGAGGCATCTAGTCCAACTCTGCGAGAAGGAGACCTTCTCCAAGAAGGAAACTCCACATCCTCCCTGGAAAGGCAGCGCAGGTTTTGGTGGTGGCGGCGGCTAACCCTGGGCG